ACTGCCCTGTTCCCAGAGTGAGAACAGTTCCTGCCAGAGCTGCAGGAGGGTTGGGATGATCCTCTGGGGCACAGGGGGGGACTCTTGGGGATGGGCCTGTGCAGGGCTGAGGGTTGGACTGGATGATCCTTGGGGGTCCCTCCCAGCTCAGCAGATCCTGGGATTGTGCCATTCTGGGACAGGGACACTGCCCTGCCTGGCCCCTGGAAACACTCCTGCTCTCCTGCTGCTCCCACCAGCATGACAAGGGAAATCTCTGACAGCCAAACCACTTCCACAGCCACAAAGCTCAGGACAGGAATGGGAAGGTTTGTGTTTTTCCCAGCCTTTGCCCAGTTCTGTCACTGATGCACCTTTCACACCCGAGAGCTCGAAGATGTCCTTTTCCTATGCCCTGTTGTCTTCAGGAACTGCCCAGGACAGTCTGGAACCTGCTTTCAGTAGATAGAGGTGCTCCTGTGAAGGAGTTTTAGTTAAATTAATACAATCATATTTAATATCCAACCAGGGCTGAGGGTTGGACTCGATGATCCTTGTGAGTCCCTTCCAACTCAGCATATACTGGGATTCTGGGAGCAAGGCCAGTGAGTTCCTACAGACTCCTGTTCTAACCTCCTTCTGCCATGAAACTCTCCTGTTGCTGCTTTTCTTCCTTTACAACAGAAGGTGGGTGAGCCAGAGGGTTCAGTCCAGGAATCAGTAGTTGCCTGGCCATTAATCTCCCCAGTGCTGGCTCTCACCCTCCCTGCTGTGCCCCTGTCACCAGCAGTGCTGCCCTGGCACCACGGGGACACCTGGACACATCTCTGGTCACCTGGACACGGCTCCAGCACTGGGCAGCACCCCCAGAGTCTCCCAGAGCAGACAGTGTGGAAAGCTCATCAACTCAGCAGGTGCCTCCCAGCACCTGGAATGGGGAGGAGGGAGGGTTGGGTAGAGGTGCAGGTGCATTAACAACCAGATTTTTCTGCCACGAGTCCTTCCAGTGCCTAAAGAGGCTCCAAGAGAGCTGGAGAGGGACCTGGGACAAGGGATGGAATGACAGGGCAAAGGGGAATGGCCTTAAGCTGAAGGAGGTCAGGGTTAGATGGGATATTGGGAGGAAATTGTTCCCTGGGAGGCCCTGGCACAGGTTGCCCAGAGAAGCTGTGGCTGCCCCATCCCTGGAAGTGTCCAAGGCCAGGTTGGACGGGGCTTGGAGCAACCTGGGCCAGTGGAAGGTGTCCCTGCCCATGGCAGGGGGTGGGACTGGATGATCTTTAAGGTCCAACTCAAACCATTCTGTGATTCTGAGAGTGAGGGCAGAATTACACGAGTCTGGTTTTGTTTTTAAAGCCTCTTCTTTGTGCCAAATTAAGAAGAATTGTTCTGGCAGTTTGTCCCCATCCCAACATTCCCCCTCCAAGCTCCTCATTATCTCTGTTGGGTTTCTGTTTCCAATTACTTGGTCCTGCCCCACGTGGAGCAAACTGTGAGTGCTGGATGAGGAGCCTGGGATACCCACACTTATGGGCATGGAGTGCCCTTCCACAGCTCCTGGCACCACCTGCTCATCCCAGGGTGAGCAGGAGGCTGTGCTGGCAGTTCCCCACCCTGCAGGTTCCTAGAGGGAGCTGGGAGCTGCACTGGTGTTTGAATGCTTACAGGGAGTGACTTCTGGGCTTAAATGATGATTCCAGTGTTTACTCCTAAAGATCTCCACAGCCTGGGGGGATGCTGGTAAATAGGACTCCACACTCAAGTTACATCCACTGCTATTGGGGTTGGATATGCAGGAATATGACAGGGAGCCATTCCCAAAGTACAAGGAAGGAATTTAATGGCACACGTCCTGCTTGTTAATGTGTTATTTGTCCTGTGTTAATGAGAGACACAAAGCCACCAATTCCCTGTGTCCTGCTTTGAAATGACACCTTGGAGTGCCTTCAGGAAGGGCTGCTCCAGTCCTAATCCCCTTCCCAGGGATGCTGTGCTTCTGAACACTCTCTACAACCCTGATCAGGCAGGGAGGAGCATCACAGCTTCTCCTGCTGGAGATTTGCTGATCTAATTTAGAGAGGGCCTAATATTCCCCTTCTAATTAATTTGTTCTCTTCGCCTGCCACTGAACTGGCTTTTGTTCTTTGGGAGCTCCTCAAAAATTAGCTGCGATACCTGATGGAATTTAATTATACAGGCTAGGAGAAAGTGATTAAGGGCAAAGGGAGAGCTCCTCACACCCCACATGCTTCATGAGCAGAAGGGAGGGTAGAGCCTGCTCTGCTCAGGGGGAGGGAGAATACTGAGGAGTGATTGTCCCCAGCAGGAACTGTAAGGTTAGATAAACATTCCTTGACATGTGAGTGCCTTTGCCAGGGTCAGATGTGTGTGACCAAAGCTGTCCAGATCCGTCTCAGATCCATTCCCAGTGAAATTAGGTCTGCACATCACCCTTGGCCTCGTGCAGCAGATCTGGGTTCTGATGCTCTTCAATCCCCTTGGGAGCTGTGCTTCCAGAACAGGGAGAACAGGCTGCAAGGGAAGGAGCTGAACTCAAAAGCTCCTGATCCTGAGCCTGGGAGGCCCCAGATCCCATATCCCAGTTCTCAGTGGCAGAGCTGAGCTAAAGATGCTAAACATGAAAGGGATCCAGGCCAAACTTCAACAGGAATTCTGCAAAACTGCACAATTCCTCCAGTGTCTGGTCAGCACAGCCATGCAAATCTCTACTCCAGGGCAGAGGAATAACTGTTATTCAGAGAAAAACAGTGGAATTGCATAAAAGGGTGGCTGAGGAAAGAGAAAATCAGGGAAGAGAGAGCAGAGGAAGAATTGGGACAAATAAAACTGGCTGGTCTCAGGAGAACATTCAGTTTGACTCTGGAAACTGCTCACAGCCACACAACTGAAGGTATCCCACGGCAATGGGAGTGCCAGGCTGTGTAAGCACAACAGGACACACCTTTCCAGGCACATCCTGCATCGTGAGGGGCTGGAACAGCACTGATGTTCAGGTATCACGTGTCAGCCCGTCCCGGGTGGGGCTGGGCTCTGGAATGGTGGGGGAGAGGTGCTCCGGGATCCTCTGCAAAGCCACAGCACCCCCAGGGCTGATTCTCCACCAGCAGAGGACTCTTCCCTGTGCCTGCACTGCCTGACCCAGGGGACAGGCTGAGCCAGGGGCTGGGAGGGACAGTCAGAGGGCAGGAAGGTGCCAGAGAAAGCGTCTCTGCTCCCAGACTGGCAGGATCCTCTCGGGAAGGCACATCAGGGATGAGGGAAGGGCTGCACGGGCAGGGGTCTCTGGAGGGACATTCTCACCATCACATCACCATCCAGAGAAGCCGTAAAATAACTGGAAACGGAAAAAAAATTGTGCGTGAATTTTGCCCCAGTCAAGCTGTCTAAGCCCCAGCACTGAGCAGCCTCTCACACACCAGGGAAGAGCTTCTCAGACCAACACACACACCTTGTTCTACTTAGGAAACAACACATCCTCCCCTGGGAATCCAGGCAGCAGGGCAGGAGCTGGCTGTGTGCCCAGCACTCGCTCTGCTGCCACAGGACACACCAGGGACTGTGGCAAGGGAGCTCAGGAGACCACACTGAACGCTCTGCTGGAGCCTCCTGTCCCTGTTCTGTGCCACCAGCATTAGCAGGAGCTGGGAGAGAAAGTCCCGGTGCTAACGAGCCCCTGCGGGCAGTGGCAGAGATAAAGGACCCAGAGCAGAACATCCACAGCTCCGGAGCAAACACGGCCCTGTCTGAGCCATTTGTGTGTCTGTCTGATGGAGGAGCTGACAGGGGGGCACTCAGAGCCCCTCCTACATAAAACACAGGCCTGTCTGCCAAACCCACCTTTCATCGATTAACAGCTGATCTCTTTGGACTCCCACAAGCCCTCAGGAGCTCTCTGATGCTGCTGCCACCCTCCTTCTGAGCTGACAAGCAGATAGTGGGATCTGGGTGTGCCCACACAATTATCACCTGTAGCCAACAGAGAGGCCAAAGCAACCCCATGTGCTAATTATGCTAATTAAGCACAGCCATGTGGGCCAGGAGAGCCAGCAGTGAATGCACCCAGAGTTGTGGGAGAGATGATTCGAAGCTGCTACAAAAACAACCACGACTTGAGGTGTTTCCCAACTCACCCACCAGCCCTGTCTGCAGTAGCTGGTGCTCCCAGACAGCTTTGAGGGGTGGCTGTGCCCAGGATTCTTCTGCCTCCTGAGGCACCAGGGCTCTGCATCAGCTCAAAGACACTCAGCATGTTGGACTGGGAGTTCTGGCTGCTGCTCATTCCAGCTGGGCCAGGCTGGACCATCACCTGCCCAGGCTGGAGAGGTGGCCCAGGAGAACCTCTTGAAGTTCAACAAGGCCAAGTGAAACGTCCTGCACAAGGGTAGGGTTAATCTGAAGCACAAACACAGGCTGGGCAGAGAATGGATTGATCCTGGCCCTGGGGGTGCTGATGGGGGACAGGCTGGACATGGCCCAGCCCAGAAACCCCCCGTGCCCTGGGCTGATGCCCCAGGTGAGACCCCCCTGCAGAGCTGCCCCAGCCCTGGGAACAGCACAGCAAGGACATGGAGCTGCTGCAGAGAGTCCAGAGGAGGCACCAAGAGGATCAGAAGATGGAGCAGCTCTGCTGGGAGGAAAGGGGAGAGAGTTGGGGATGTTCACTTGGAGAAGAGAAGGCTCTGGGGAGACCTGAGAGCCCCTTCCAGTGCCTAAAGGAGCTCCAGGAATGTTGGACAAGGACTTTGGATAAGGAATGGAAGAACAGGACAAGGGGGAATGGCTTCAAATTGAGTATTGGATTTAGATTAGATATATGGAAGAGATTCTTCCCTGTGATGCAGGTGAGGCCCTGGCACAGGTTGCCCAGAGAAGCTGTGGCTGCCCCATCCCTGGAAGTGTCCAAGGCCAGGTTGGACGGGGCTTGGAGCAACCTGGGCCAGTGGAAGGTGTCCCTGCCCATGGCAGGGGGTGGCACTGGATGATCTTTAGTGTCTCTTCCAACCCAAACCATTCCATGACTCTACAATGACCCATGTGAGCCCTTCCCAAACTTACGAGCAAAATGAGGTGCTCTGTCAAAGCACCTCATTCCCGTGGTCCCACATGAATATCACAACAAGGAACCAGAAATAGAATGAGACACAACCTTGCAAAGCCTTTTGCCACGGCTGGGGCTCAGTCCCAGTATGGCAGGACTGGGCACCAGTTTCCTGTCAGCAAAATGCATCCTGTGCTGTTTCTCTCTCTGCAGTCAAAGTCTAATTCATTGGCTTTTCCTTGGTATGGAAAGGGGCTCTGCTTTCACCCCACAGTGTGGAGTAGTTTGGTCTTTTCCCGTGTTTGAGAGGATTTGATCTGTGTGCACAAGGGTTTAATGGAAAGAACTCCTACCCAGGGAGGGAGGTGTGAAATGGGGACAAGGTGGCAAATGGGGAAGCCTGAGAAGGAAGAACACCGAGTGGATTCCGAAATGAAGGAGATCATACACTAATTAAACCAGCCAGATTTGATAATGACTGCTAATGGCACATTAAACTGTCTAGCCTGAGATATATGTTTGTTTTGCTGCTTCCCAGTTCGGGTTTGCTGTTTGTTTGTTTATTTTGCTGGTTTTACAGTTTTGCGGCTGCTGACCTCCTGAACATGACAATCCTGTCCCGGCCCTGACAGGGGTGATGTTAATGACCCACAACGAGTTCCCAGCAATGTGCTCTGCCCGGCCCCTTCTGCTGAATATCTCTGAAAAAGGTGAATGAAACGGAGTATTCAGAGAAACAGAGGGACTGGCTTTGGAAGGGAAAGCAATTTAGACTCCAGTGTGGTTTGGGGATGTTTTTTTCTTTTTAGTGTTCTGGCATGTTTGAGGAGGAAAACAAAGATTTCTCGGGTGGTTTATGGTAATGTGTCCTGTCACTCGTCCTAATGGCTTTTTTTTTTTTTCTCCCAGTGCAGTCCTGTGGCTCTTCTGTGCTCACACAGCCCCCACCCCAATGCAATCCCTCCCATTTTGTAGCTGTTTGGGGGGGGATTGAACTGCCAAGATAGAAGGGGAGGTGGTTTGCAGTGAGACAGCCTGGCTGCCACGGCAGCATTCCCACAAAACCAGGGCCAGAGACAAGGATAAACCCGAGGAAATGTGAGACTGCACCCCCACTGTGCCACCCCCGATCAGCATCCCCTCTGTGCCCTCAGAACTTCCAGAGGGAGCCAAATAAAGCCCCAGGTACTCAGAGAGTGAGGTTCTGGTTCTGTTCTGGGTTTTAGTGACATTCAGCTCTGTGTATGGGATTTGTCTCTCTGTGCCCAACCCACAAGGAAAAAGGAGCAGGCAGCAGGAAGACCTTGCTCTTTAATTCCAGCTTTGGGGATCTCACGCCAAGCTGAGAAAATGGGGTTGACAAGGCACAGAAGTGAAGGGGACAGAGCTCTCAGGGACAGGGTGGGGTTGTTGGGGTGTCCTGTGCAGGGCCAGGAGTTGGACTGGATGATCCTTGTGGGTCCCTTCCAACCCAGGATATTCCATGGTTCTATGAACTGCCTGATGATTATAAAGAAAATAATCTCCCAGACCAATCAAAACACTTCACCTCACTCCTATTATTTTTATCCTATTTTTAGGTGAGAGCTTGTTGAAGCCACAACTTGTTTTGAGCAGCAACTGTGTCTTTTTCTTTTGGAGGAATTCAACATTAAATACATCAGGGTGTTGAAAAGAAAACTCAAGAAAGAATACACAGTGAGGGGTAGAACAAACCTGCCTGCTGTTCTTAGGGAGTTTGTTGGTCATCTCATAGTCCAACCCTAAGGCAGCAGACAGTGTAGGCATCTCCTAGTGCTCCACAGCTCAGATTTGGAGAGTGCCACCACACTAAAATGGTGAGGAAAACTGACTTTGGCATACCAGAGGATCTTGATAATATTGGATGCTTGCCAGAGATTTCAGAAGTACAGAAGTTGTGTTTTATAAACTTTAACTATGGGACAGGAGGATGGTGCCAATGGTCCCAGAGGGTTGGGGAATACAGGGAAATCTCCTTGGATCTGTAGCTCTCTCACAGACTCCTCACAAGAACTTTGGGACTGTGCAGGTGGCTCAGGAGGCAGTTCAGCAGATCAGCCCAGACCTCAGCTGGGTTGTGCTGTAACTGCTGTAGCAGTGGGGGCAATCCTGTGGTGAACTGAGCTCCTGGGAAGGATTCCTGCCCATATCCATGGCATGGAGCTGTGGGGGATGGCTTCCAAAAGGTCCTAAATCCAAGGCAACAGCTAATGGGGATCACAGGCTGCAGGAGATCCTCCATAGCCAACACCTCCTGGTGGGAGATTTTGTGTGGCTGAACTGCTTAAATTTGTGTCTCTTGATTTCTGTTTGTTAATTAAAGGAGAGGAAAGACATGGTCAAAAAACTGACCAGTGACAGAACTCAAAGGTACAGCTGGAGCTGTGTCAGGGCAGGCTCAGGGTGGATCTCAGCAAAAGGTTCTTCCCCCACAGGCTGGTTGGGCACTGAACAGGCTCCCCAGGGCAGTGGGCACAGCCCCAAGGCTGCCAGAGCTGCAGGAGGCTTTGGACAACACTCTGAGGGACAGGGTGGGATTGCTGGGGTGTCTGTGCAGGGCCAGGGGTTGGACTGGATGATCCTGATGGGTCCCTTGCAGCTCAGGACGTTCCATGATTGTGTGGCTCTGTGCTGCAACCTGGCTCACAGCTATCCCAGAGCTTTACAGTGTCACAACTTGCACTATTGATATGCAGGTGATGCAAGCCACTGATTAACCCCCAAAGCATGAATTAATTAGAGCTGTAGATATGGTGTCATCATCGTGAATTAATTAGAGCTATAGATATGACATCAGCATCATCATCACAATTGTCTTAAAAGCAAAGAAAGCTGAGGAGCTGAGGCCACTGCACCACCCTGAGCAGCGATTCCTCCCCCCTGAGCAGCGATTCCTCCACCCTGGCTGCTCCCACCAACTGCAGGAGGGAGGGATGGAGGGAGGCCCTGGAGAGCCTCAGGCCTTTAATGGACCCCAACCAGTAACAAAGTGTGCTCTCAGAAGTGCCAGTGGGGAAAATGTTCCCTTCCCAGGGACAAAGCTGCTCAACTCCTACTTCCAGGAACCAGGTCACTTCCAGGCAGGAATGGACCCTGAGCAGCCCAGACCCAGCCAGGACAGCTGGGTGCAGGTGGAGAGGTGAGCTGTGTGTGCTGTGGGGTCTCTCCAGTGTCACTGTCCCCAGGGTCCCAGTCCACTGGAGTGGCACTGCTGTGCCCTCTGAGACTTGGTGTTTCTGTTCTATTCTCTCCTAATTCCTCTTTCCCCTTTTTCTCAGTTTCAGACCTAGATCTTAAAATATTTCAAGGAGATTCACTGATTTATCAGGCTGGATCTCAGCAGATCACAGAGCAGGCTTGGATAGTTCCCCTCTCCCTTTCTAACACAGAGCCAGGGAGGAGCAGGAAAGGCAGGACAGGAGAAAGGGGGAGAGATGAAAGCAAAAAAGTAAAGTGTGGGCAACAGATCCAGAGGGGATTCTGTCCCTCTGCCCCCTCAGGTGAGACCCCCCTGCAGAGCTGCCCCAGCCCTGGGAACAGCACAGCAAGGACATGGAGCTGCTGCAGAGAGTCCAGAGGAGGAACCAAGAGGATCAGAAGATGGAGCAGCTCTGCTGGGAGGAAAGGGGAGAGAGCTGGGATTGTTCAGCCTGGAGAGGAGAAGCTTTGGGGTGACCTCATTGTGGCCTTCCAAGACCTGAAGGAGCTACAAGAAAGATGGAGAGAGACTGTTTCCAAGGGCCTGGAGTGACAGGACAAGAAGGAATAGCTTCAAACTGACACAGAGGGAGTTTAGATTGGATATTAAATATGATTGTATTAATTTAACTAAAACTCCTTCACAGGAGCACCTCTATCTACTGAAAGCAGGTTCCAGACTGTCCTGGGCAGTTCCTGAAGACAACAGGGCATAGGAAAAGGACATCTTCGAGCTCTCGGGTGTGAAAGATGCATCAGTGACAGAACTGGGCAAAGGCTGGGAAAAACACAAACCTTCCCATTCCTGTCCTGAGCTTTGTGGCTGTGGAAGTGGTTTGGATTGGTGAGAAGATCACGCTGTCAGAGATTTCCCTTGTCATGCTGGTGGGAGCAGCAGGAGAGCAGGAGTGTTTCCAGGGGCCAGGCAGGGCAGTGTCCCTGTCCCAGAATGGCACAATCCCAGGATCTGCTGAGCTGGAAGGGACCCCCAAGGATCATCCAGTCCAACCCTCAGCCCTGCACAGGCCCATCCCCAAGAGTCCCCCCCTGTGCCCCAGAGGATCATCCCAACCCTCCTGCAGCTCTGGCAGGAACTGTTCTCACTCTGGGAACAGGGCAGTGCTCCACTGTCACCACAGGCTGAACTCCTCTGTCTGCCCTCAGCAATTCTCCTCCTGCACCACTTTTTTGGGACAGGTGTTTGGACCAAAACCTTTCCATCTCAGACGCAGTGATAATTTTTCCTTCTGTTTTTAGGAAACAACAGACTTTTTTACAAGATGTTGGCAGTTTCTTCCAGCCATCCATCCTGGCACTGCCTTTCAGAAGCAGGATGAGCTCTGATTGCAGTCATTTCTCTTAGCCCTAAATGAGGCTGGAACGCTCCACCCCACAGGTACCTCCCCCCTGGGACATGGGAACACCCACTGAGTCACATCATCTGCCTTGGGACCTTCTGTGCCACCATTCAAACTGCTCAGGATTCAACACAGCTCTCTTTGGAAGCTCAGAAACACACCAGCCAATTTCCAAAGGATCCCAAATGTCCTCAGGGAGGCAGAGGCACAGTTTCCCTTGGATTCCTGGTGTGGTTGTTCCTACTGTGCCCCAGGCATTAAGAAAGAGCAAACTGTAACACCTTGCCGAGGTGTTGCCTTTGCAGTTTGATGTCACCTGCTGTGCCACCTGATGTGACCCAGCTCTGAGGGGACTCCAGTGAGGCAAGGGAGGCTCTGAGCAGCTGAAGATCCAGCCCTCAAGGGCAGCAGGAACAGTTTATCATTCCCAAAGGGACACCACCCCCTGACAGGTGTGAACTGCTCATGGGAAGTGAATCTGTGCAAGAACAAAGGTTGTCAGGAATAGTCAACGTGGCCTCACCAGGTGGAAATCCCTGCTGAGGGAGCTGGGGAGACATCTGAGGGGTGACCTCATCAAGGTCTGGGAGGATCTGAAGGGTGAGTGTCAAGAGGGTGGACCAGACTGATTGCCCAGCAACAGGACAAGGGGCAACAGGCACAAACTCACATAGGGGGATCCATCTGAACATGAGGAAAAACTTCTTCACTTGGAGGGTGCCAGAGCCCTGGAACAGCTGCCCAGAGAGGCTGTGGGGTCTCCTTCCCTGGGGATACTCCAAACCCACCTGGGTGTGATCCTGTGCAACCCCAGGTGACTCTGCTTGAGCAGAGGGGATGGACCAGGGGATCTCCAGAGGTCCTTTCCAACCCCCACCACTCTGTCTGATGTCAGCCTGCTTGGTTTTGTTGGCCAAGTCATGTCTCTGCCTGTGCTTCAGTTTGAGAACTGATAAATGGTGATAATACTTATTTTCTCAGCTGGGCTTTGGGAGCTTCCTTATAAATATTTATGAAGAGCTCTGTTTATAATTATAAGTAAATAAATGGGTGTATGGAATTCACAGTCTAAGGATGCAAGTTGTTCTGTTTCACACACTCAAATGCAGTCATTTATGGTTTCTGCCTTCAGTTGGAAGCAGAGAAGTTGGGAATAGCAACTTCAAAAGCACATCTCAAACTGAGCCCCAATTAAGAAGGAAAAGCCAGAACTTAAGGGGCAAATCCTGCTGACATCAGGAAAGACAGGGAGAAGCTCTTGTAGGTACTTCATGTGCTTAAAGATGTAGATGGTGCCTGCTGAAGTTTATAAAGTGCTGAAGTGTCTAAATCCTTTCTTAAGTCAGTCTGAGAAGGGACATCATGCACAGACACTCAGGGTCATTTGGGGGTTTATAATCTGCTCATTCTCCTGTGACACCTGCAGTAGGTTACCTTTGGGGACCTTCTGGGAATCCTCCCAGTTTTCTTTTTGCATCCACCCCCTTTATCCTGATCAGCCTTGGCCTTGTTTCCAACTCAGCCCAGTTGCCCATTCCTAATTAACCCCTTTGGAGCTCCCTGAGCACCAGGAGCCTCCTGCCATCATCACCCAGACCCTGGTCCAGCAACAGCCCTTCCATGACAGCACCCACTCTTTCTTCTCCCAAGGCTGGTGGAAGGTTCACAGGGGCCAGGGGACAAACTCCTGTTTGCAGAGTTGCCCTGAGCTGTGTTTTCAGCTCTGCAATAATCCACATGTAACGCAACCCCAGATCCATGCCCAAGTCCCAGCCTGGACAGTGTCTCCCAGGACACAAAGATCCACCCCAAGGCTCAAAAGACCCATCTTCTGTTTCTGGATTAACTCCCTGAGGGCTGTTGGACCTTGGGGAATGCTCCATACCTGCCCCTGAAATTTCCCCAGAAATTGTGAATGTTGGTTCTCTCCATCATTAAGTACTTTGAGGAAAAACTAAGATATTAAAAACCAGGCAGGATTTTTTCTGGAGGGAAAGTTAATACTGCTGTAGAAATGGCTTTGGGATAACAGGCATGATTATCAGGGATTCTTTCAGTGGTTATATTTCCCTGCTTTCCTGAATTCCTGGACTTGGAGTTCTCTGCAGCTGCCCCTGGAAAACAGCCCCATCCTTCCCTGGGAGCAGAGGGTGATCTCTGCAGAGCCCTGGGGACACAAACCATCAGACTGCTGCACTGATCCTGCCAGGATCCCTGAGGAATCCCCCACTCCACAAGTCTGGGAGGTGGTTTGCACAAAATAGGCCTGTGGTGTATTTTAATTGCTGATGGGAACGTGGATCCCAGTGGAGAGCTGGGAACACACTGGAGATCTGCAGCTGTACATGACAAATGCATTTAATGCTTGACATTAGTTGTCCCAACAAGGGTTAGAGGTGTCAGCAGAGTGGTCTAGGTTGGGCTGGAAAAGCAGAAACAAAGGCATCCAAGATCTACAGCCAAGCCTAAAAGATTGTCCTTTAGTGATACTATAATTCAAATTTTAGTGAATAAGAAGGAGGAAAACAAGTGTAAGTTAAAAGGCTACTGAGAAGCAGGATTGGGGGAGCTTCCTGGGGGTGTTTTAATATCTTCTGGTGCTGAGTGAAGAGGCTGGAGAGAAGTGACAGATAAGTGGCTTCTCCTCAAATGCCAGCATGCAGTAAATCTGTCTGTGCAGACACCTGCAGGAGTCTGGCACTTCAGGGGTATTTAAAGCTATTTTAAAGCCTGGGAGGGCCCTGCCAGGCTGGGAAGGGCAAAGGGCCTGGTCATTCTTCTACTGCTGGTGTGCCCCTGTGGTACCAACCTGTGAGTGTTTAAAGAGCCCCCCCCCAGTGCTGTGAGAGATGAACCCTCTGCAGGATTCACTGGCACTGACCTCAGAGGGGGGGATGCTGCCCCTCTGCCCCCTCAGGTGAGACCCCACCTGCAGAGCTGCTCCAGCCCTGGGGCCCCAATACAAGAAGGACGTGGAGCTGCTGGAGAGAGTCCAGAGGAGGCCACAGATGAGATCCAAGGGCTGGAGCCAGACTGGGAGAGCTGGGATTGTTCAGCCTGGAGAAGAGAAGGCTCCAGGGAGACCTGAGAGCCCTTTCCAGGGCCTAAAGGAGCTCCAGGAGAGCTGGAGAGGGATGTGGGACAAGGGATGGAGGGACAGGACAAGGGGGAATGGTCTTAAGCTGAAGGAAGGTGGGTTTGGATTGGATATTAGGAAGAAATTCTTCCCCTCACAAGGGGGAATGGATCTACACTGACAGAGAGTAGAGGAGATATTAGGAAAAAAATCATTTGCTGTGAGGGTGGTTCAGCCTGGAGAGAAGAAGGTTGAGTGAAGACCTCACAGCACCTTTCAGGATCTGAAGGGGCTCCAGGGAAGCTGGAGAGGCACTGCTCATCAGGAACTGGAGTGACAGGACAAGGGGAATGGATTCAGACTGAAAGAAGGGAAATTTAGGTGAGATTTATGGAAAAAATGCTCCCCTGTGGGCGTGGGCAGGCCCTGGCACAGGTTGCCCAGAGAAGCTGTGGCTGCCCCATCCCTGGAAGTGTCCAAGGCCAGGTTGGACGGGGCTTGGAGCAACCTGGGCTGGTGGAAGGTGTCCCTGCCCATGGCAGGGGGTGGCACTGGATGATCTTTAAGTTCCCTTCCAACCCAAACCAATCTGTGCTTCCATGTCCCTTTTCCAGCCCCCTGTGCCCAGTCCCCTGCCCTTCCTGAATTGTGCCAGTCACTGTGGGCACCTCTGGTCACACAGGACCAGCCCAGTGTTGTGTCTTCCAGCTGGCCCTCCTGGCCCCCCAGACTGTCCCACCACCCTTTTCTGCAGCTGGTAGAAAATGCCCCAGCACCTGCCAGTCTGACATGAGCATGGGATGCTTTAGTGCCCAGGCTGGCAGGAGGTGGCATGGAGCTAAATTGCCCAAGACAGCCACTGATGGATTATGGCACCCAAAATTAACTGGAGGGATATTTATATTTTCACTGCCCAAGCCTTGGAATGAGGCCCTTGGAGTTTGGCAGCTCTCCCCCAGGGCTGCATTAGAAAGCTGCTGAGGGCTGAGGCAGATGCTGCAGAAAGTGAGTGCTGGCTTTGTTTCCAGGTAGGAAACAGGAATTCAGGCAGTTGCTGCCCCACAGTGCTGGAGTTCTCTGGACAAAGCTGTGTCCATCTGCCCTGTGGTGCTGGACTCTGCTGTCCCTCCCTGGCAGCAGCAGTTGGCCCTGAGGGCAAACACCCTCCCACCTTGCCTTTTGGACTATTTTCTCTTTGGCTGAGCTGCTAATTACATAGTAATTACTTAGGAAAATTCCTTAATCAAAATGCCATTTGAGGAGGGAATGAGCAAAGAGGCCAGGGAGGGCAGCGTGTCTCACAGGCAGAAGCTGCCACCCCGAGCATCTGCAGACCTGGCTGCCCTGGAGAACCACCAGGAGGCCCAGGGGGGACAGGGCTGTGCTCCAAGGCAGCACAAAGCACCCCAAGGCTGCTCTTTTGGGTGCTGGGTGCTCTGAGGGAGCTGCATCTCCCATCTCCCAGGAGGGCTCTGCCCTGGCTCGTGCTGCTCAGCGTTCCAGGAGCACTTTGCTCTTACAGAGAGGCCCTTGGGCTCTCAATGGATCTGAGCATCAGCCTCACTGCCCAGAGGTTTGAGAGGACACCTGGTTGATAGAAGCTGTCCTGGATTCTTGGAAGGGTCAGAGACTGACACAGCCTCAGTTACGAGCACAGAAAATATTTGCTCCAAGATTTCATATTTTAAACAACTGAATGCAAAGGCATATAAATATATATAAGTACTGAGACCTAAAACCCCAGCTGGGAGTTCAGGATGCCCAGCCAGCTCCCTGTCCAAGGCACAGCTTGCTGGCCTCCCTCTCACTGACACTGGAAAGTTTTTCACTCCATTATTATCTTCACACAGTCAAATCTCTGCTGTCAGCCCCAGATTTGAGAGTTCAGAATAATTGCACATCACATCCAACCCTTTGGCACCTCTCTGGACATCTTCTTGAGCTCATTCAAACCCTCACTGAGCAGCACATGTCCCAAAGCAGCTCCTCCAGGGCTCCAGTCACTCATCCACTGCAAAACCCAACTGTTTGTTCTCATCCCTTGCTTCCTGTCACTTCATCTGTTATCAATTCTCAAGAAGACCTCTCCTCTCATTCCATGCTGTTCTCGAGCACTACTGATGAAAGACCTGGCTGACAATTTCCAGAGGAAAATGACTGCAGTGCCTTGACAGCATCACTGCCCTGCCCACGTCAGCCGGTCCTTCCCGGGGCACTGGCACATTCACAGCGTGTGCCCTCCTCTCTCAAAAGCCCTCCTGCCTCTCCTCCTCCGTATCCTGCCTCTCCTCCTTCGTATCCTGCCTCTCCTCCTTCATTTTAGTGCCACCTATCACAGTGCCCCTGCCCTGTCAGCTCATCTTTCAC